CTACAAAAACTGATTTTGGGTTTGTATTACCTAATGCCTATTTGCATTCCTCTGTGTAACAAGTTATACAGATGCTTCATAACTATTAGTCATACTGATATGATTATAATTACAAGTATCTTAATTCAATCATTAAGAACAGTTGCTGTAATATAAATATTACATAGATGATTATCTAAATTTTCACTGTCTGTAGTTTTTGAACTTCATAACCTACTACTTGAAAAGTTAACAACTTATCCACTTCACTAAGTTATCACATTCTACAAACATTTTCAAATTATCAAACTAATAAAAGAAAATGCTTTTAATCTTATTAATATAACTAATTTAAAAAAAATCACAAACTAACAAATTGCATATATTATTAATATAGTTATTATTCTAATTCTAAAATACAAACTATGTAACATTATTCTTTTTTATACAGTATACAATCAAATTTTATTTAAATATCTTATTATAGCAAAACACAAATTACATCTTTCTAAATTTATACCAAATAGTATAATTATCAATTTATTTTTATATAATATATACAATATTTGAGATATTTAACTTCAGCATCATATTTTTAACTATTTTTAATAAATTAACAACTCTAATCTTCTTAATATTACAACTCAAATTAGACTTCAATAGTTACAAAATAATTTATAGTTTTTTACTAACATATTATATCATCTCAAATCTACTATTAATGAATCTAATAAGTATTTATTAAACTTTAAAATTTCAAAATATTTAACTTTTAAAAAGCAACTTAGATAATTAAATATTATATATCTTGAACAACTTTGTATAACAAATAACAGCACTTTACTTAATTAAAAACATTTTTTATCAAACTTGCTATATTTATCTAAAGGCAAAAAACCTCTTTGGTTTTTTTATTTAGAAAATGCAATTTTAGTATATTCTTATTATTGAAATATCTTATTATATTACTAATTGTTTGGTTATAATTCTTATACTTACTATATTATTAACATATTTAAAAAATTCACTTAATCCAAATTTTGGTTACTCTTATACTATAATGATAAAATTATTATTAAAAAAATATAAAAATATTTTTTATTATTCAATTATTACTCTATTACTTATTGGATTTTTAATATAGATCTAAATATACAAAATTTTATTTTTTACCTCTTGTTAACTATAAACAATATACAGAATGTCATTTTAATTTTTATAAAATTAATCAAACTTGTATTATTAAAGTTTTGCAATTATCTTAATATAATTTCTAGATAAAACTAATTCAAACTATTAATTTAACCTTAATGCTAATTACTTAAATCTTATTTTCTCTATAGCTGTTAAATATTCAACTTACATTTTTTCTTTATTTAATATTTCTATTATTAACTTAATCACTTTTAAAATCTTTATTTCAAGTAAATTCATTAACAAACTTATATTCATTTCATATTACAATTCTTCTTATTAACAATTATTTTTCTATACTAATTACTAACTAATATACAATAGGTATTAGTTAGATTCAAGTTAATAATAATAATCAAATTATTAATTTCTTTTTTGTTAAAATACAATTCTAATTTTTTTATTTTACAAAGCAAAACTTTTTTTAATCATTATTGTAATTTTAACAGCCTTTCAAAACTTAGTTATTAATATTTTTACTGATTCTTAATTAATAATTTCTAAATTTAATAATCTTTAACTTAACTTATTCTAATAAGTTATTCAAATTCAATTCATAGACAATATAATATACTCTTTTAAATATTATTAAACCATACAAATTACAAATTATTTTTTACAAAATGCAGATTTATTTAGATAATTATCTTAATGAGCAAATAGATTCTCTTGTTAAACAATATTTATTATCACTATTTTTTTTATTTAATTATACAAGTTTTTATAATTTTTATTACATTTTTTAATGAAAACAACATTATATAAAACTTCTAAAATATTTTATTAAGCAAATTTGTAAAGCTTATATTTTAGCTATATAGATATTACAAAAATAAAACAGTGAGTAGTTATACTTTAGCCAAGATATTGATTAAAAATTTATTTAACTCTACTTTAATTATAATTAAAAAGCTTTATACAACATTACTAACTTTAAATTTAATTAGCTAAAATCTTTTAAAACAAAAATTTTTCTTAATAAATTGCTAATATACTTATTATATTATTTATCTAAACCAATACTCAGATACTACTTGTTTTTATTGTAACTTATCTAATTTTTTTTTTATAATATACTTGTATTAATCTATTCTTACTTAACCAAAATTATTTAAATTTTTATTACTCAAATTATTTTAATAATTTATTTAATTTTAATATTTATTAAAAACATAATCTAATTAACAAAATTCTTTATTATCTAACTCTTAATTCTTTATACATATTATCTAATATATTTTATTTTAACCTTAACTTTTAAAAAACTTATTTTAAAGTTCCTTATATTAATACTTTAAAATTCTAATATTTTATACAAAACTTCTTCTTAAGTTATTATTGATATTCTTTTTAATATTAATAAACAATTATATGAACAACTACAGAATACATATTGCATTCATTTTTTTAATTAAAAAAAGCAACAAAATAGATATTAATTTTAACTAATTAATTAATTTTTAATATTATTTAATATAATTACAAAACACACATGTTCATGAAGAGATTATACTTATTTATACCTTTGTAAACTTTTTGATTAATTATATTCTTGCTTAATACATATTTTTCTATTAGTTAAGCAATTTGCAAAATTAACATTTAGTTTATTCTGTAAATTAAATATATTATACTATTAATTTATATATTAATATTCAAATCTTTTTGAGCTTTGATCACTCTAGTAGGTTTAGATTACAGATAAACTAGTTTAAGCTTTTATTCTTTTATATAATTTTTAATTTATTTGTTTTGTATAAATAGTAGTAACTATATAGTTAATAGTTTAATAATTAACTATAACTATAAGTATTAGCTTTAGCTATAGTATATATATATATAACTATTCTAAATTATTAATAAAAATATAAGCAAAATTTCATTTTAATATCAAAAAAAAAAATTTTTGAAAACAATCTAAAATTAACTTATCTATATTTTATAAAAATAATAAATATAAAACATTTTTTGAAAAACAAATTTCTATTTCTTTTTTTAATAAACTTGTAATAAAAATATAAAAATCTGTTTAAAGATCAACAATGTTCAAACCAACTTCAAACATCAATATTATTTTTATCTATATCTTAATTTATATCAAAACATTATAATACAAAACAATCTTATTAACAAATTTGATAAACAAAAAATAATAAATTTTATTATCTTTAAGCCTACTAGTACTGAACTACTAGCAAGAGTTTTAACATTTTTTAAATCTTTAAACAAATCATTAACATATTCACAAATCAATATTTATTACTAAGAAATTGTTTATTTAAAAACAAACAAAATATTATAAGATAAAATTTAAATGTTATACTTAATATCTTTTTTAATTAAAGAGTTTTTTTTTCTTAAAAAGACTTTTTTTAATAAATTTGTCTTTTACAAACCTTATAAATGCAACCATCATCTTGTTAAGAAATATACTTTTTGTAATTGGCAAGAAAAATAATATAAATAAACAAGTAATAAAGCTAATTTAAACATATTTTTTTAAGATGTTATTAGAAAAACTATTAAAAATATATACTTTATCTTTGTTATAACTTAGTGATTAGATTGTTTATTATAACTAGATAAATGCATATCATTGTATATTCAAAATGAGTATTAAATTATATTAATTAGATGATTTTCACATAATGTAATTAGACAAACAAACTTTGCATATTACCTTTTACAGAATAATGTTCTTTACTATATTTTCAGACAAATAAAATTGATTTGTGTTTTTTTGTTTTGCATTTAAGTTCAAATAAAGTGAACATTTTGCATTTAAATATAAATAAAGTGATCATTTTGCTTTAAGCGCAAATAAAATGGTGTGATGGAACAGAAAGAAATTTTCCGAATTACTTTTTGATGCGATATTATGAAATAAACTAATAATTACATCAAAAACGTACCATTTTATGTATCAAAAAGGTAACTTTCGCTACGCTCCGGACAATGAATATCTGCCATAGCGTTATATGACATAATAATAAAATTTTTAAATTGATCCAGAAATTGCTGTTATAACGAGGTCCATTATAATGAGGTTAAACTGTATATTATATTGAATACTACTAATATAAATTAGTATTATTGTTAGAACAAATTTTTATAATAATGTTTTGGATGATTTTAACGCTCACCAGAGATGAAATTTATCAGGTATATTGTTTCTCAAAAACGGCTTTAATAATCGGTATTTGGTATACTAAATAAAAAATGGTCAGCACCCTAATTTCTATTTTAATTTAAGTCTTAAACCCCAACCCTAAAGTTCAATTTTAACTTTAAAACTTGTAAAATTTTCCAAAGATCATATAATAATAATAAGAATTAAACATATCGTGAAGTTCACCTCCGGAAAATATTATTAAAAATTAAAAAATGCTTTACAGATTTCGTATACCAAGTTCGTACAAACTGGCAATCAAATTCGTAAATATAGCTAACTTAATACACTGATTAAATAGTGATATCTCATGATCTAGCAATTATAATCACATAATTTTGATTTGTCTTGTCAAGACGATACCAAATCACATTATAATTATTAGATTACGTATTTAATAATCAGAGTATGAATTTAGCTATATGTACGAATTTTGATTGTCAGTTTGTAACTTGGTATGAGAAGCATGTGTTATTAATATTCTCGCAAATTTTGCTCAGATTTGTAAACACACTATATAAGTAATTTGATTTCCAAATAAAGCTATGGCATGGGTATATATCTAGCATTAAAAAAGAGCGGTTTGGTCGTTAAATAAATAAGAAAATCCAAGAAAAAATCTCTTGTAGTAAAGATGATACGATATTACATTTTATTAATGCAAAAGATTCAGGAACGACGGTTTGATACCTGTATGATGTTACAATATCAGATCTCAGATCAACACTTTATTTGGTGACCACAATAACTAATTCAAGGAAAATAGTACATCCAATAGTTTGCGAGAAATTAAACTACTGCATAAAGCATGAATTATCATTAGAGAAGCTCTTGACATTAAGGTAGTTTCAAATGATAAGTGATAATTGCCACAGTATGCATTATGTGGTAAAGTCTTTTCTTAAAGGTAACGCGGAATTAATAATTATCATTTTATAGATGAAATGAATGAATGAGCAGATAAGGCAAACTTACTCCACTCGAACGAATTTAGTTTACACAAGAGACATTGGCACTGATTAAGGCCAATCAATTCCTATTCAAGAACAATTTTTTTCGAAAACATAACGGGCGTTTTTTTATACGTAACGGTAACAATATCCTGAAACTACATTTTTCCTAAAAATTTCAAAAATGGAACAAATATATAGAATATAAATACGTATAATCATATCGATGTATGTATGTACTGTACATACATATATCCGTATCGATGCTTGATATATTTAACGATAACTATATATAAATATAAGAATTAAAAATATACCCCCGTGGTATTATGTTCATCCTTAACCTATTTATAAAATTTAGAAATTCTAGATCACGAGTGTAGATGAAAGTGATGAAAAGTGGTGCAATTTAGGTGGTTCCCAGGAACTCTAAACTTGAAATTGTAAAACCTTAACCGAGATATTTATTTATTTTACATATGTATGTACGTGCATATTTATTGGTCAGTGTTGCATATATCTGCGATTTAAAGTTCTCAATTAGGATACTCATACTCGTATTTACAAATACTGCGATGCAACTAATAATGTGGCAACATAACTGCGCTTAGATACCCTTTTTTTTTTGATTAATAATAATTGCTTTTTTTTTTGACAAAGCAAATGCGCTCTGAAATTTTATAAGGTCACTTTTTTGTGAAGATTCCCTATTTCGACATATATCCGAATGTCGTCATAATCCATAGTGCGTCAACTCTGTAATTTTTGTTGCGTAACTTTGACCCTTGACCCTGAAATTAAAATTAATGTTCAAAGACTGGTCGTAGTACGTTACACGTATATCACGCAACATATTTTTTTTGTGGCTAAAATCCAAATTTGAGATAAAAGGCACTCTCGTTCCCATCCTTCCTCTTTGCATTCTTTTCTTTGGGTGACGAAACTTTGCAAGAAACTTGTAAATTATCATAAGCCTTTTTCAATAATAAAGGTGTTTCTCAACCAATTTCAAACTCGTTTTTACGCGCTTATTACTTTCACAGTAAAGAAAAGAAAAGAAATAAAAAACTCCTGGGAACTTTATATACATATAATACTATTTCGTGAACGAAGGTTGTTCTCTTTTATATTTATATTATATTTTTTTTTTTTTGACTCCCAAAGAATGTCTCCAAGGCTTGTATGCTAAAGACTTTTGTGTTTATTTAGGCTGATATACTACAGTATAATAATAATAATAAGTTGCACGGCCATTTCCTACTTGTTATCGAAGCTGTTGTTTAACAAAGATATTAAGAGCACGTATAATTTTCGTTTCGATGCTTACTCTCACGGAAACTTCTTCAACTCTCAATACAAGCTATGTTAGTCATCGTAAAAGCTCTACCACTGCTTCAATTGATGAATCATATATATCTCCTATGGTACCAATTAACAATTATACCCTTCAAACTTCTGCGCCTCGTGTATCCGACAACTCATCAAGGTATTTATTCTTACTTTATAGACTTCCAATCGATTGATTAATCTTGGGGATTTACCATGGGATAATCAGACTGAATAGATATATTCACTTGCAGCTTACGAATTGACAATGCTGTTTAATGTCTGATAATCCAAGTATGAATTTTCATTGTATCCTTTATTAAAATATCCATTATTAAAGATATACGTCTTTTTTTTTTTTAAAAAAAAAAAAAACAAAAATCAAGGTCAAATTTATCAAACGCCATCAATAATAATAATAATAGCAATAATCATCGTAGACGGCGATCTACTGCATCTCAACAAGAATCATCTAAAAAATCATTGGATCAACCGCATCCCTCACTGAATAATTCATCAACAAATCCTATTTCTTTAAAAAAATCATCTGGATGTCTTCGTAAACTACATGCTGATGATAATGGGAAACATTCCCCTTCTGAAATGGCATCTTCTTCACCTCTACACGATAATAATGATATACCTTCTTCAGTTTCTCAGCATATTCCCTCAAAAAGATTATTTGATGATTCACAAAAAGTTGTTCTTTGTGTTTCCGAAAGAGTTTCTTCTCCTGAGGATTCCACTGAATCCGATTTGAAAAAAATGATTGATTCATCTCTACCAATCACTGATAATTTTAATTCTGTAACTCCTAAAGTGTCTGTTAAAGACATTTATAATACCCCAGAAAATAGTGATGGGGATACATCCGCTAACGTTTCGGATTGGGATAATAATAGTAATGAGGATTCTACTGAGGACTTTGACGATGATGATGATGATGAGATTGATAAATTTTTTAATAATCCATCATCACCAGCATCAGTTCAATTGAAACCATTTGATAATCAAGTGGGCGGCCACACCTCTTTTTTTCGATTTTCTCAAAAAGCCGTTTGCAAACCTTCAGTACCGAGGGAACAATATTTTTATGAACTCCTTGAAAAATCTCATCCTGAACTTTTACCATTCATTCCCAAATATTTGGGTACTGTTAATGTGATTAATCGTGCTCATGATGGTGACGTAAAATCAATGCCGGAAGTTGTTTTTGAACAAAATAAACATCTTTTGCCTAAATGGATGCTCAATAGAGTTAATTCATTTGATAGTCATTATTATGATGACAACAACCAATTATTTGATAAAGAGAACAATAAAATATCTTCGGTATCTAGTGCTCCAAATTTATGTTCTCCAAAAGTGAATCAAGATCTAAAAAATGAAGTTTTACAAGAAGTATTTTCACCTAGTGTCGTTCGTGCTCGGGTGCGACAAATTCAAGCTTTACAAAAAGAACCCATTAGAAGAAGGCATTCGATAACTAATGTTGCTACTTTACGAAGAAAGTCTGAATGTAAAACTCCTGAAATGTCCGAAAATATGGATTCTCCTTGTGAAAAAAGACAAAAGTTGCCAATTACTGGTTCACCTGACCTATTATCATCTAAATCTGGTAATGATCATGGTGATACTACTTTGACATGCTTAACTGATTGTCGTCAAATCCGTCGTTCTAGTAATGATCATTTTTCTAGTATGACACTTGTGAAAAAGGAAAAACCAAATTCTTATCCAAATTTAACTGAATCTACTTCACATACCGGGTATTCTCACGAACAAGCAACTTCTGATATGCATTCGGCTTTTAACATGGGAGAATATTCATCATCATCAAAACCTACTTTACGATTACAATATCCTACAGAAGAAAATTCTGATGAGGAATTAGTCACTCCTCCGCATTCACCTACTTTGATTAATAATCCTTGGTCTTTACATTGTTATTCGTTACAAAAATCTGACGAAGCACTTAATAATTTGCAACAATTTATTATTTTACAAGATCTAACTGGTGGATTGAAATATCCTTGTGTTTTAGATCTAAAGATGGGTACAAGGCAATATGGGATCGATGCGAAACCAAAGAAACGTGAAAATCAAATGAAGAAGTGCGCAAAAACCACGAGTAAAACTTTGGGTGTTAGAATCTGTGGCATGCAGGCAAGTATTTATTATTATTATTATTATCATTTTTTAATTGGATTGGGATTTAATATTTTTTCTTTATTGTTTATAGGTTTATAAATCAACTACAAAACAATTTCTTATTCAGGATAAATATTATGGTCGTTCTCTAAATAATGAAACATTCTTTAGTTCATTAGTTGACTTTATTAATAACGGCAAACATGTTTTAGTACACCATATTCCTGTTATCCTTCGTAAACTTCGCCGTCTTGCAAAAATAATCCGTAAACTTTCGAATTACCGATTTTATGGAAGTAGTTTATTACTTATTTATGATGGTGATGAGAACAATCCACGAGATATAGATGTTAAGATAATTGATTTCGCTCATTGCACTACGGGCAAAGATTATTTACCTGAGGAATTTTTGAATCCACCACATGAAGGTTGCGATAAGGGATATTTATTAGGACTTAAGAATTTGTGTCAATCATTCGAAAGAATCTATAAAGAGACTTATGGTATTAAACCTGAAGATGTTGGTGAGGAAGAAGAAGGTGTTTTTTCAGAAATAGGAGAAGAGCATGATGATAACTCCTCTGGATAATTATAGATTAGGAAGTCGTAATTTGACATTTCATTATCGAGTTTGACTCCGGTTTTTAAGTATAATGAAACATATTACTCCTACGCATTCGCTTTTGGAGATGTTCATTATATTGGCTATTATTTTTGAGTTGTTGGTGCTGGACACTACCTTATTATTATACTCATTATTATTATACTTGAAGTGTTTAATTTACACTTGGCATCAGTGCGTTTCTTTGTCAACCTTCTTACGTAATTCAAAATTCTATTTGTGTTCTACCATTTTCAATATCTATAATTCTTAATATTCTAATCTACACAAAATTTTCTCGTAAGACACTATATATATATACACCTTTGCATAATTTCTTGTACAAATCTTTTTTCCTTTTTTTTTTTTTTTTTTACTTGCTATATTTGTTTTGTATATATATCCTTTGTAAATGATAGATATACACGTTTCGCAATAAAAATTAGTTCTTTTTCATAAATATATTCTAGATAAAAAAAAAACTTTTAGATAGCGATTAGTACAATTTTTACATAAACGATTATATATATTAAGCGGCCTTTTTTCCTCTTTCTGGTCGCTATATATCATTTTTACTCATCGTTGATATATTGACTCGAAAAAAATTCGATGCATGATCTTGTTAAATACGCATGATCTTGTTAAATTAACATTAAATGTTCATAAAATTAGATACGTATTAAATGTAATATATATATATATATATATACTGTATATTAATTATGTATGTATGTTAAGCTGCCGCTCTATTTTAAGTTTAATCGAGAATTATAAATTTTTTTATTATACTTTTGTCCTTGACATTAACATTCCAGTTCATTCAGGTTTTTAAGATTAAACTAGATTTGCTCACGCGTAACGTATCAATTTCGAAAACGTTTAAACCTATTATTATTACATAATAGTTAAGTTTAGGGGACAGTAGTAATTGTGTAAGTCAGGGTCTATAATCGTGCTTTAAACCTTGTGATCGATTGTACGGATTTTTTGAGATTAACGAGTTACATAAATAATAAATAAATGAATATATATTATATATATATTATATATATATTATATGTAATGCTTTGTATCCCATATATTTGATTCATCTGTCACAAATTCGTAACAATACATCATATATCTCATTATCTGTTAATTTCTACTTATTTATTATTAAAAAAAGGAAATAGTCTTTATCCAAGGCATAGCGGGAAATTTTAGAGATTCTAATGATATGTCGAAGCTTAAGTGGATTAGGATAATAAAAAATAATTTTGTAAACTTTGTAAACTATTTTGGTAAAAAAATATGAATTATGAAATTGTGTTTTAGCTTTATTTATTTATTATTATTATTTATTTTCCTCTTCTTTTTTTAATATAGTATAGTACAATACTGATACCCGATACAGCTTATTTTTGATTGTCTAAATAGCGTATGGGCGGATTTTTTTGATTTTGGTGATTATTAAAAAAATAAATTGATAATAATTCATAAAGTTTGATCCAATCATTTATGTGATTGTTCTTTTTGAGTTATGAATTATTTATGTCATGATAAATAGCCGGTTTTAATGAACAGTGTTGGTTTAGTGATTGACTAAATACACATCAACTAAGTCATCAACTAAGTCGTTTAGTAAAATATCTTATTATTGGTCAGATCAATAATTTATCAGATGTAATGAAGGGAAAATTAAAATTATGTCAAATATCAACTTACTAAAAATATATAAAAAAGCTACCATAAGATACCAAAAACCCACCTAGTAGTTATTTTTCGCTGTGCGGATTGTACGCAGCACAGAACATTTGTAATAGTTGCACCGTCTCTTACGAAACTTTTTTTTTCCCTTCAAGGGGGGATTTTTTTTTTTTATCTTATTCAATTTGCAGTTGAGACAGTACAGGAACATTATACAGAAAATGAATCCACCACCGTAAGCTTGCTATTTATTTTTTTTATACCTAACATTAGTGGGTAACATTTGTATTTCATAACGATAATAAATTATGGAAACCAACGGACGTTCAAAAAGGAACCATTGAAAAAATACAAAGTGAGAGGCAATTATGTAAGTCTTATACTTTCTGAGCATTGCATGCCTAGTGAGCACGCAGGTGTAAATCACGCTGGTGGTTGAGTGAGATATCGGGACTGTCATTCACTGGTATAATCGCCCACTATAGACCTGTGCGCATGGTTATAGGGCAATATCACAAATACGTTCCTATCATAAACACAATGATGGTATGATGTGCTCATATCTTTTTATTTTTTTTATTTTTTTTTAGGAAAATGAGAACTTTAGTGATCTAAGTGACGAATAACCCAATCAATGGCCCCATTGACACCAACCATGATAATGTTATTCCCGTAAGATATAAAGAATTCAAAAAGTTTTTATGTAAATTTAGAAATTTGAATCAAATCTGTGGGGGTGGTTACAAACATAGAACATTCCAAATATTCTAAAAGTGTAACTCCTCAACTAGGAATTATGTATGTCACACCAATAACTTTTATTAATAAAGTTCATGAAGAAGCTTGGGTGATAGTAGATGAATGAAATTCTTCAAAACATAGCAATTATTTATCATATAAATTTTTTTAAATCTAATACGTAATCAAAATTTATATGCATAAATTTTTATTAATGTAATGAATTTTTTTTATTATTTAATAAATAAAATTCGAATATATTATTTGCTCTTTAGTTTGTGAAGGTTTTGGATTGTGATCCGTGTTTCGTAACATATCTAATGAGAATTACTGTTTCCATCATGGTAATTTGACATGACTAACATAAAATTTGCCTGACACCAACCCTAATTCTGGCCATGATTTTACATATCCATTGTAGGAATAGCAATCGTTTATCTAATTAATTTACATATAAGTTTATCATACTGGTTAATAATACACAACATTTAGTAAAAAAAGATTTTGGTTTGATCATTTAAAAGCAGGATGACTAGCACAGGTAAAAAATTTGGCATGTCATTGTGGCATGCCATTCACTAAAATTTATACCTGGCATGCCACCTATAGATGCTGGTGAAATATATTAAATTTCACCAGCATCTATAGTCATGCCGCGGGCTTGTATTGTATATTAAACAAAGATCATATTTTAAAAACTAGTATCAATAATATTAAAATTTTATAAAGAAAAATAAAAATTAAAAATACAGTGATAATATTTTAATATTGTATATAGATATTATATAAATAATGAATTACATTGGATATAAATAATGAACTCTTAATTAGACCATACAAGCTTAATAAATCGGGTTTCACAACCCAAAATTTACAAAACTCAAAAAAAAATTCAAGTATACTTACTACCGGGTGATTTTTTTTAAAAAAATCTATAAAAAAATTTATATTGAAAATAAAATTAAAAGCCGGGTTGCCGGGTCACTTTTAAAAATTTTATGTTATGAAAACCGATTTATTAAATTTGTATGGCATTAGTTTGAATTTTTAATATTATATGAAAAAATAAATTATATTTATTATAAGTGGCATGCCAAATACATTTTAGCATTTTGGACATAACCAACAATGGCTTGCCAGTCACCTAATTAAATGTCATTTGAGAACACTGCTATCAACTCTTGTCTGATAATGAGCGATAAAACGCATTGTGAGCGTTTTCGAGATCGAATAATAGTTGTCGTACTTGTTCCTCATTTATTTCGTCAATGGCCTTCATGCTATTTAATGTGATTAACCAATTCCTTATTTTAGCTTCATATTCTGCGGGTAGTGAACTCACGTTGTTTAAGCTTTGCATTAAATCACTAAGCATTGGATGAATTTCGTCTACTGCCTTCATATTTAGTTTGAGTGCGTCCATTAATGTGATAAAATGCTGTAATTCAACGGAAAAAGAATTATTAAAAGAAATTATTTGAATATTTATGAAGGTTTGAAGACATACAGAAACAGTTTCTGCCACGTATTTTGCAGATTTGATAGGATCTATAGAATGTTCAATGGTTGCAGGTACGCCAATTTTGAACCTATTAACTGCAGCCGGACATTTTAACTAATAATAAAAACAGCAAAAAGCTTAGTAGGCAGAAATTTTTTAAAACGGGCTTAGTTTATGAGAATAAATTAGAACCTTATATTCCTTCATAAATTGTTCCACATCGGGGATCAGATCAGATACTAAGTTCATTGCAGTTTTATATTGAGCTATTAATTTTGCGCATGAAGGTGTATACCTAAAAAAAACGTTGATCATATAATGTAAATTATAGCACTAATTTGGATAAAATAAGATTAGTAAAGAATATCACTCAACTCAGTGGCAGTAACTGAATCCCTAACATACGCCTTTTCCAAATGTTCCATTGTCACTATGATGGCATATACATCTGCCAAATTTTCATATTTTTCTCGATCCTTATTATTAGTGTATAACCGGACTTCCTTTGGAAGAAAAGAACATTTGGATCAGTCGAAACTAGTTCAAAACCATAACAAAGTACATGTGTGAACTACCTCATCAAGCGCGGAATCTGGTAAAAGCAAAAGCTCGCGAAAATCAGATTCAATTACATCAGAAAGTATGATCAATCAATATAATGTAAAGAAAACTTACTAAACTCTGGTGGGCTAGGAGAAAGCCCAGTTCTTGAACCGTACGCGGTAAGATAGCTGAAGCTTGCTGGAGTACTCGACATACAGAATAAAGTAATTAGTATAAAGATTTTTTATTTACGTGATTGGCGTCGTGACACAATTGTGCAGTCCACCCAATCATATTCAGAAAAGTTGAAATTGAAATTACATAGGATTATCAAAAAAAAAACTTCGTTGCGACTGCTATCTTATCATTTTATATATTTATATATTCTCAAAAAAATGTATAACCGGAACCAACCCACTTATTCTAATCGCTATCAGCCACAACAGCACACTGTATCACCACCTCCGTTGCAACACCCAATTCCAACTCATCCACCGATTCAAATGCGCGATCCGCCGACTTCTTCACCTTCGCCACCAACACATTTGCAAGCAACACAACATTTGCAACCGACACAACAACAACAACCATTGCATAACGCAAATATATGGTATATAAATGACACAACAACACAAATGGGAATGGAATTTGGGCGTACAGCGCTGTCTGCTGGAACAGAATATGTGGAGAAAAACGTTAGTCTAAACATTATTCTAAATTTAAATTTATTTAAGTTTTATATAATTTCCTTTGGAAACCTTATTCCAGATTGATCGATATGTCGACATTCCTGCTCTTAAATATTATTTCAAAGTAAACAATTCATATGTGGCAAATAAAATCCAGCTGTTATTATTTCCGTGGAGGCATAAAGTAAGTATCTTAATTATATACTTTCGGTTTGATTAACAATAAAAATTAACATTTTTTATGTAGCGGTGGACTCGCATTGTATCACGATCCGAGCAAGATGGTCAATTGGAAGGATTTAAACCACCCAGAGATGATATCAATTCGCCAGATCTGTACATACCAGGTATATAATGTCATATATATACTCAAAAACACGAAATTATTGATATTAATTCTGTAAATTCTCTTTTTTATAGCAATGGCCCTTGTGACATATGTATTACTCACAGGGATAGTCTCTGGAACTCAAGGCAACAAGTAGGCTAACTAAAGTACATGCTATTCTTCTTAGAAAGAGTCTAACAACTTTCCAATTGTTTATCCTTTTATAGATTTCATCCAGAGATTTTAGGAGTTAACGCAACTTCTGCATTTTTCCTTGTGTTACTAGAATTGGTATTCATTAAAATAGGATGTTATTTGTTGAATATTACGGATGCTAATGTATTAAATTTACTGGCATATTCCGGATATAAATTTGTTGGGTAATTTTTATATCTATCTTTTTGTCAAATTTTTTTTATTTTTGCACTTTTAATGCACTAAATTAATATCGTCTTATATCTGTTTATTACGCCGCGTCAGCGTCATTGTCACTTTGGCCGTTTCTTTGATAGCACCATTTTGGATTGTTGCTAGCACGTTCATTTACACTGCTTTCGCTAGTGGATTCTTCTTGGTATGGATGTTGTTCAAACCTTTAATCAATGAAATTGGCTTGAATTTTAATTCAAGTTAACAAATCTGTATATATCTCACTTAGCTGCGATCGCTTCGGCAAGTTGTGTTTCCTGATGCTAGTTCTACTGTCAATATTCAACATCGTCAAAAAAGAAAAAGAATCCATTTTCTTTTTCTTGTGGCAGCTCTACAAGTTGCCTTTATGTATTTCCTTGTAAGGTAGTACTTATATCGGGATATTTATTCAGATAGCTGAACATTTCAATCTGGATTTATAAATATATGTCTATATTATACATTTAATTGATAAATGAATATACGTATCAAATATTACGCCTATTTGGAACTGAAATATTGAATCTTTGCACAATAATGTATATAAACTTACCGATCTAATAATGTTAACCTTGAAGATAAATATATGAAATAATTTAATAATAAATAGGGCTAAAGATGATATTCGACTCAACCTGCTTGTATATTATAATTTAATCCTATTGAATGAATAGAATCGAACAAGCCGATTAAGATCCCTAGATAAGGCCAAAGTTAATTTTCGTTACGCATTATTACCCCCACACAAATTTTAATAATTTACTAGTATGTAACCCGTCGCTTCGCTTCCAGTTTTAAAAAATTAGGATTATCGTACGGGTAAGCAGATCAGTATAGTACAGGCCAAAATTAAAACCATACCATACTGGTTTGCAAAAAACACCTAGAGCTCTTATCTGGGTCAACAGTATTTAAAATACAGTCAGACCTCTCTATAGTCACATTTGCTTATAATCACATAAATTTTTGAAACTAACTTATATAAAACACTTATAAAATTTAACCTCCATATAGACTGAACCAGTATAAAAATTTCGATGGCCAATCAAATTTCGAGATCAGGTGTAACGTGAAAGTTAAATCCAAAAATCAATATTAGAGAACATCAGAGCTCTCATCAATTACCATATACTTTATACATTGTAGAGAATCGATTTTATTAGACAAATTCTTTTCTCATAATAATCAATGAATTCAGAATCAACGACACCAAGTCAATCACCTAAAAAAATTTCAACATTGCTAACCAACATATCTCTTTCTAACAATAATAATGATAACAGCACTTGGAATAAAAACATTATAAATGATATATTCTTTTCATTTACAAAAGTAGATTATGATCAAGAAAATTTAAAGAAAAAAAATAAATCATTTGAAGAAAATCTAAATGGTTACATAGTTAATGTCAAGAAAAATATGGAGTCTAGAAGACATCTTTGGCAAAATACTATAACAAGCAATAAAGGTAATTTAAATTTTCAAATGTTTTTTCTTTGAATTTAAAGTGATAACGACATGTGCATAAGAGAAATTCAAGGAAATTGGGTTGTATATTAAAAAAATCAGGAGAAATAACAAAATTGCAAGAAGAAATTAAACTATTTGAGAAAATGCGTATAGAATTTATTAAATGTAAGTTGATATGTTTACACTTGGAATTATTTAACTTGGAAATTTGCATAATCATGCTATAATGATTTTACAATATCTTCAATTAAAAGCATTAGAAAACGAAAAAAAAGAACTTTCAAAAATTCAAATGGAAATTACGAATCTTAAACTAGAAGAATGTTCTAGGAATGAAGGAATTATCGTGTTGAAAAAAAGAATTGAGAGAGCCGAAGAAGATATTAAGCAGCAACGTGAAGGTATGAACTGCCTTACCATTTTTGTGAATTATAATATCTGATAGGTCCTATCATATTTTGTCTTTGATAGCTATCGAGGTCAAACGAGCATTACTAGAAACACAGCTTTCGAAAAACTCACCAGAATTAAACATTTTTACTGATAAATTGGCGTTAACAATGGCACGTGTACGAGGTACTCAAATTTGATTTCTATCATTATCTTTACAAATGAATATTTACACGTTTTACAAGTAGACGATGTGATAAGTTTTATATTCACGTGTATTTATGATAACAATTTGTCTCGATCATGTTACTTCACAATTGATGTTGGAGAAACAATGTATAAAGGTATTAATTGTCTCGGCTGACGCTGAAATTTGGGGTCGTGATTTGAAACCATAAGCGCTGCTAAATCCACCTATACTCTTTAATTACCAATTCTAACCCTAACACTAACTCAACCATAAAAAAAAGCGGGGAAAAAATGCCCCAAAAAATTTTAAAAATTCATGTCAGAATAGGTTCAAATTTCAGCATCAGCTGCAACATTAATTAAATATTGGAAGCCCCACAATAAGAGGCAATGGAAATTTCAGTTTTATATAAAAATTTTATTATAATTTGTATCTACTGATCTTAATCTTTAAAATATAAAAATTGCTTGTTTATAATCTAAACAATAAATATTTTTAGGTTAAGATCAGTAGATATAAAGTTATAATCAAATCTTTACATCAAACCGAAATGTCTTATTGCCCCCTTTTCTGTGGGTCCCATATATTTATTCTGCAAATCGATTCTGTTGTCTGAAAGTCTAATGTTGCAATTATCAGCATTAATTTTTGTTTTATTATAGTCATAGAATGTAATCCTATACTCGAAGAATTAGATGAACTGGTTTCGCAGTTAAATACTAGTCGTGATTTCTTTTCATTCCTGAAGAAAATGAGGCATGGATTTCGTAAATACGCAAAAGCAGATACATAAGTAAACATATTCTTTTTGTTTCAAAATTCATCAAGTTTACCAAGTAACGAAAGAATATATTGACTCAATTTCATTTCATTGCGGTGTAAAAATATTTATTAGCCTTACGCAATTTCATTTGTCAATGATTATGTAAGCGACAAGGTTTAGCATCACGCATATACAATAGCAATAACTAGATGTGAATCTAATAGTGCTTTATAAAATGAACGATCAGTTTGTAATCTCAATCGAAGGATTATAATTGTAAGTAACGATATTACAGTAGTGTTTAGCCGACTTAATAATTGTCACGACTGAAACTGAAAATTAAGGACCTTGATTTAAAAATAGGATTTTATAATTTTTTACCTATGCGATATATCTCCACTCATAAGATTATGTATAATGTTAAACAAAACAATAATAAAAATTCGATAGTTTAAGGTTAAGAGAACTGTGGTCTCTGTTTTGATTAGAGATTGAACCTACTAAAAATTTTAACTTCAAGTTACTTATTTATTTAAAAAAAGTCTAATCAAATTATAGATAATTCAGATAACCTAGTTAACTTGGTTGATCCAGTTGATCATAAAAAGAAAAAAAATTTTATACCTATTATTACTATTCATTTTCTAGTATAGTTTGTAAAATCATTACATTTTACTTTTGATTTATATATTTATAATTGTTTTTATAAATTTTAAGATAATTGATAATTGATAACAAATAGATTAGTCAAATTTGATAAGTCTATGAATTCAGTATTATCGAATTACTGTAATGTTAAAAATCCAATTTTGATAATATCAAATTTAAAAACTTATCAAATTCAATCAATTAATATTTTATTAATTATCTTAGAATTTATAAGAACAAGTGTAATTAACTATTTAAAAATCTGCAACCTGGGTTTATACTTGCGTCTAATAAAAAATTGAATATATAAAAATTTAAGTACAGGTATAAGTATAAAACAGACACAGGTATGAATATAAAATTTTAACATAGGCGTAGATATGAATATAAAAACTTGATATAAGCATAGATATAACAAAAAACATAACAACTTAATATTTAATATTTTATTATGCTTAGCATTTTGTATTTAATATTTAATGTTCTTATCTATAATAGTATTTAACATCTTGTGTTCTTGTTTATTATAATGTCTGATATTTGTGTCTATGTTTATAAATATGTTTGGTATTTTATACTTATAGGCATGAACATAACATAGACACTAATACCTAACCTAGTATTAATATGTCTGACATAGGCATTTGCAAAACTTTACAACTACTGTTTATTTTTATCTAACCTATGTATTTTTTTTTTTGGTATTAAAGTAAGGTCTTTCTCATATCTTTTATTTATTAGTATTATTTGTACAAATTTAATACGTATACTTTTAATGCATAATACTTATTAATTTAAGAATACTAACTCAAACATGTTTATCTGTAACCTAAACCTATTTGAGATTTTTAATCGGTCCCGCAGTAATTGCCAGCCGGCTTTGAGTAAGATTTGTAAAAAATTGATATTTTTAACTAGTATTTATTCAATGAGTAATATTATAGAAAAGTTATTTCTCTATAACAATCTTGAATAAAACTTTCAGTCTTTGATAATTACTGCGGGACCGTACGCGGGTCACCCGGGTGGCTAGTCAAAATCCTGACCCAACCCTAAAAAAAACCCCCCAAAAAAATTTTAAATTTTATCAGCCACGACATTTAATAATAATAAAAAAAAATTTTCGTCACTTTTTGTGTTACAAAAAAACATCAATTATCTAAAGATCTGCCTGACTTTCATTGGCGGCAGGCCATATAATCAGCCGTTTCAAAAAATTGGCTTGGATGCTAAAAAATGGTTTTAATCTCTTGGCCGAATTCGTTGAATTTGATTCGACAGAATATCACTATTATTCCAAAGGTATATATGTAAGTGATTCATTCAGTGACA